TGGGGTAAAGATAGTCTATTCAATAAGTAGTGCAAGAAAAACTGGATAGATAACTTGAAAAAAAATGAAATTAGACCACCTTTTTATACCACACACAAGAATAAATTAAGAATAGATTAAAGACTTAAATATTAGACTCAAAACCATAAAAATTCTAGAAGAAAAAAAATCCTAGGTGAAAACATAGGCAGTATAAATATATATATATGAAATGTCTACATATAATATGTATAACATATATATATATAACACATGTGTCAAACACAAGGCCCGCGGGCCAAATCCATCCCGCCAGGCTTTGCAATGTGGCCCGCACCACGCTGTCATCACTGCACTCCACTGCGTTTCCATCACAATGACAGTTTATGACTGTTCAGTAAACCATTCGGCCCGCGATTTAGGCTGGATTTTAGATTTTGGCCCCTTCTCTGATTGAGTTCGACACCCCTAATATATAAAATCCTACTATATAATAAAGGTGTAATATGCAAATCAACTGAACAGTGCTATGACACAGGAGCTGCCCCCTGGTGGTCAGTGTGCTCTCACAGGGGGAGCTCTGCTCAACTAGCAGCGGGGATCACAGCTGGCAAGCGCAGTGCTTGTGGGCTGGAGCCTCCTCCTCCTCCGCTGCTGGTGGGCCTTAAGGAGGGAGGGGTCTCAGACTGCAAGGAAGCCCGGATTGCAAGAGGGATGTCTGACTGCTGATTAAGCAGTGAAAGATCAGACGGAGGCTGAAAACCGGGACTACAGGCTTTATTAGAGGAGAAGGACCTGCCGGGCTGTCCCGCAAGGGGAGAACAGCAACACGTGCAGAGGGAAGACGCCTTTTGTGGGGAGGAATGGGAAGAAATGGGGGCTTAGTGTATTTGGCATGCACTGATCGGTGGCTTAATGTACGGTCATATAGGGCCAAGGGTAAGTTGATTGGTGGTTCAATGTATAGTCCGTATAAAGTGCCTGGTTTGATACTCAGGTACCTCCAGGCTGCAGGTGCAGGTTATGTCATACTCCACCCACCAGTTAGGGGAAAAGAGGATGTATCATTCCAGGGTTTTGGTAATAGTTAAAAAAAATTTTTGGGGGGGAGTCTAGGCAAGGTCAGGGGGCAAAGGGCCATTTTTCATAGCTAATTCCTGCTGAGAGGGGATGTCATCAGGGGCATCTATTTGAGGTCTCAAGGGTTCTGGTGACATAGGTGTCTCCAGGTTCTGAATTCAAGGCCAGATAGATCTCTCCCACCTTCTGGTTGGCAAACGCTTGCATTCTGTTCTGCAAAAGACTAGTGAAACAGCACATGAGACAGGAGGCAAGGAGCAAAATTAAAAGAATAAATACCAGTGGGCCTAATAGTGGGAGGAGCCACGGGGTAAGTGAGCCAAAGATGGTGTACCCTCCTTCTAGCTGGTTACCTCATCTTTGGTCACCTGTCCCAGAGGGATTGAATGCGATCTTTGACAATTCTTGATTCATTTACAAAGTAGCAGCATTCTTCCCCAAGAAAGACACAGGTACCTGCTTTTTCTCCTGTTAAGAAATCTATAGCACGCCCGTTCTGTAGGGCTACCGCTGCTAAGGAGTCTACGTGCCTTTGAAGGGATTCAAGGGAACTGCTGATGATGAAGATCTCTTCTGAGTATTCAGCAGACAATTTGTGGTAGAAATGAACAGAGGAGGAAATGCCTCCTACTCCTGTCCCCACCGCAGTGAGGACTCCCGTGCCCACTAAGAGGGGAACAAGGGCTGCCCTTGTGTGGTGGCGGCTGAGAAGACCAAGAGAGGATGCGAGTTCTCCCTGTGTTCTGATGGAAAGATTGGAGGTTAGGAAGACATAAAGACAGAGCGAGATTGACACAGGTGTAGGCTGTTCCCATAGAGGAGAAAGATACCCAGTGGAGGGCAGGCTAAGGGAGGGGGTAAGTTCATAGATTGTGCACAGTAGTAAAGGTGTAGGAGTAGCTGAGGTAGTGGTTTGAGAGGTATTTGTTAAACAGGTAGTGTTTTCCGTGCTGGACAAGGGGTGCAGCAGCATTATTTCCCCAAGAGATGGGTTGGTGAAGTCTCAAGAGTGATCCTGTTGAGTGACTTGGGAGGTAAAAGCTGGTCCTGAGGCTGCCACAGTGTCACTTGTCCGGTTTTGCTGCTTTTCTGGGCCCGGAGCTGAAATATAACTGAGACGGAGATGCTATTTTAGGGGTCTCAGTTGCCTCACTAGTGACATGAAAGGGGAGAATGGGTTACCCTGGGGTGAGGTTCTTGTTTTCCCAGTTTTGCCCCTTGCTGGGCATCCACATGTTTCTTGTAGTTCCTGATTCAGGGGTTCAAAATAGGTAGAGCAGTGGTTAGGCTCCCTATGGCAGTTCCAACCCCTGCTGTGATGCCGAGGGTTAGGAGCAGAGGGATTATTTGGACTTCTCTTTTGTGTCGGATATGATGGGTTACGGGGCAGGTAAAGACTCATTATTGGGGGCTACATCTACATTGGGTGAGAGATGCTGGG